AAGTATTCTTTCAACTAGCCTCTCCAGGCTTCATAGTAAATGAAGGTGTTGAGTGTGTTTGCAACTCTCATAGAGAGGATAAGATAGTTTCTACACTCACTAAGGTGTGTAACCTCAGTTTTACAGGAATAAGTGTCTGAGGCGTTTTGTTTACTCTCGTAGAGAGGATAGAATATTAGCAACACTCACTAAGATAAGCTATCTTAGTTTTTACATAGATATACAGGAAATGCTTTGAGAAGAAATGTAGCTTATGCTTTTTCGTTTTATTTTTCTTATTGCACGTTTTCTCTACTTCTCTGTTCTCTACTTCTTCTTCTTCTTTGCCTTGATACTTATAGCCTGTTGATAAATTTTCCCGTTGTTTGAATTCAAATTTTCCCGTTGGAGCGGAGCTTCATGTCGTTGCAGATGGAGGTTTGTTCATGGCTATGTAAATCTTTTCATTTAATGCATTTGATCTTGCATTAAATGTTTGCTTGTATACGTGAAGTCCTTCTGTATAGTTTACTATTTCAATGTCTAACTTCAATCATGATCCAGGCATATTTGTACTTTTCTCATCAGTTTAGCTGCCGAGGTGTTGTCTTTCTCTGAAAAGTAGGTGTCCTTTTTCTAACACACGTAGTTTTGACTTGTGAATCCACGCTTGCCTATTTTTCTTCTTTTTGTATTCAGGTCTGATGTCCTTTTGTGTTTTTTGTATGATTTCACTCAATGTGATTAGTGGACTTCAGACGCGCTTCATTATTTTTCGACTGCGTCTGGATACACATTTTAGTTTTGATTCTTCATCTGGTCTTGACTACCCTTTACGTCTATTCGTGAGAGTGATGACTTTGTCTGCTTGTTCATTAGGCTTTATCTGATGATTTTGCAAATTCATGTTGATTTTTAGCCAACTTTCATCCCGTTCTTGACTTAGTCTCATATGATGCCTATTTTGGTCTTACATCTGATCCCTCAGGCTTCAGCTGATAGATTCGTCTTATCTTGTATTTGATTTAGGCCTGGATCAACCTTAGTCTTGATACTAGCTTTGTTATCGTCTGCTGTCTTGTTCAATGCGATTATGCTTGATCATACTTTGTCCTTCATTTTTGCCTGAACTTATTGTTATCCATTTGAAACACTAACGCACATGTTAGGAATAACAATATGTATTATATTTGTCATATTCAAAACCCCGGTGGGAATTGCAAATGCGCTTCGTCTGACTTAACAATAATAACTCTTCTGGTATCAGACTGCTTCTTAAAACTTATCCATTCCGTTTGAATGATCACAGTAAGAAAGATTGAATAATAAGAATAATCATAATAGAAAAGGAGTTTCCATTTGATTATACAGACTCTTCATGTGGCACATATTTCTAATTCAGATAAATGCATTCGTCCTTAGAACTTTCGTTTGATGTATAAATTGATCTTCTCATGACTACAGGCTTTCTTACTCCCTAAGCATCTCGCTTACTGCATAAATCTTTCTGATGTCTAGATACGCTTAGAAACTCATCTATCTTGATGACTACAAATGAGAAAAGTGATAGTGCCTCTTCCAACTTTATCACTTGATTTTGTTCTTCTTGTTCCAAATTGTCCTTTTAATTTAATATCAAATAGTCATCTAAACTGCCACTCAAATTGTTCAATAACCTTTACTTCTAATTCTTCTTTTATTGTACAAGGCCAAAGTACAAGACAGACAATTGGTACGGGATGAGTCAGAAGGACTTTACTACTTCAAACTTCTTCCTCAGTTGATTGCAATGTCATAGAGTCTCCAAATCTTTTTCACCGTCGTTTGGGACATCCAAGTTTGTAGAAGTTCAAGAAAATAGTTCCCTATATGTCCCAGTTACAAATATTTAGAGTGTGAATCCTGTCAACTTGGAAAACATGTTTGCACTTCTTACCCAAGTAGTGTTTAGTCACAAGCTTCTGCACCTTTTTATATTATTCATTCTAATGTATGGGATCCAAATCGTGTCAGTTCTATTTTAGGTCATAGGTATTTTGTCACTTCCATTGATGAGTTCTCTAGGTGTACATCGGTCTTCTTACCTAAGAAAAGGTCAAAATTATTTTATATGTTTCAAACTTTCTTTAAAGTTGTTCAAAATCAGTTTGGTGAATTTATCCGAAATTTTGCATAGTGATAATGCAAAAGAATATTTCTCAATCTCTTTTAAATACTTTTCAACACATAATGGGGCAATTCATCAGTCATCTTGTCCTCACACCCCTCAACAAAATGGTATTGTTGAATGAAAACATTGACATATTATCAACTGCTCATACATTAATCATTGGTGCTAATGCCCCTTAAAGTTTTCGGGTGATGTTGTCCTTACTGCAAGTTTCTTAATCGATCATATGCCATCTTTTGTCATTCAAAACAAGGTACCTCACTCTATTTTGTTTTTTGATAAACCATTGTTTCGTATCCCTCCTTGAGTGCTTGGTTCTACTTGTTTTGTCCATGATCTTTCCCCTGGGCTTGAAAAATTGTTTGCTCATACAATAAAGTGCATTTTTCTAGGGTATTCACGATTTCAAAAGGGATATTGGTGTTATTGTCCTTCCACACATTGTTTTTATATGATCGTAGATGTTATATTCCTCAAGGACACACCTTTCTTTTGTCAGCTGTAAAGCCAAAGTCCATTACTTATGTTTTTCCTCTCCCTAACCTTTCCCAAGTTGCCCTATCTCAACTTGATACAAGCAATCCCCGATCTACTGTCTCCATCTTCCCCAAGTCCTCCTTCCCTGATTACTTATGAGCATCATCCTCGTCATATTCCCAATGAAGTGCCTACCATAAGAAGTTCCAATGACTCATCTCCTATCCCAGTCCTTTCTCTAGCTCTAAATCCTCCTGAACCGTTAGTTGATCTTCCCATTGCAATCTGTAAAGGTATATGCTCTACTTGCAATCCTCTTCCTATTTATAATTTCCATAGCTATCACTGTATATCTCCTTCACATTACACCTTTGTCTCGTCTATTTCTTTTGTCCCTATTCCTAAGTCTCCACAAGAAGTACTCTCTCACCCAGGTTGGCGACAAGCTATGCTTGATGTGATGTCAACTTTAGAATTTAACCAGACATGGACTCTTGTTCCCCTTCCTCTAGGAAAATCAGTTGTTGGTGTATATGGTGTTGGTCCTGACAAGAAAATCGATGGATTGAAAGTTTGTGTGGTGGCTAAGGGTTTCACACAAGTGTTTGCCCTCAATTATATTGATACTTTATCACCAATGCCGAAAATGACCTTTGTTCACCTCTTCTTTTCAGTGGCAGCCATGCGACGTTGAAATTGCACCAACTTGACATCAAGAATTCCTTTCTTCATGGTGACATAGAAGAAGTGTATATGGAGCAACCACCTGGGTTTGTTGCTCAAGAGGAGTAACGTGGTTATGTATGTCGCCTTCAGATTAAACAATCCCCTCGAGCATGGTTTGGTAGATTTAGTGTAGTTATTCAACAATCTGGTATGCTTCAAAGTGAGGAAAACCATTTTGTATTCTACAAATGATGCTCAAACCGATATATTTATTTGATTGTTTATGTTGATGATATAGTTATTACAGGTGACGATCATAATGGGATTGTGGGACTAAATAAACATCTAGCTTGCCATTTTCAAACAAAAGATCTTGGTAGGTTACAGTATTTCCTTGGCATTTAAGTAGCACAATCAAAGGTGGGTATTGTTATATCACAAAGAAAATACACTTTGAATATCTTGGAGGAAACTGGCATGTTGGATTGTAAGCCCATCGACACTCCTATGGTTCCAAATGTCAAGCTCCTTCCTAATTAGAGGAAGTCTTTTCATGATCCAGGAACAGAGATTAGTTGGGAAGTTGAATTACTTAACTATTACAAGACCAGATATATCATTTGCTTTCAGTGTTGTTGGTCAATTCTTGAATTCTCCATGTGATGGTCATTGGGATGTTGTGGTCAGAATCTTGAGATATGTCAAAGGATCCCTTAGAAAAGGCCTAGTATACAAAGACAAAGGTCGTTCTAATATTGTTGGATACACATATGCTGATAGGGCAGGTTGCCCAATCGACAAACAGTCCACATTTGGGTATTGTGTTCTTATTGGAGGTAATTTAATTTCTTGGATAAGTAAGAGATAGAATGTTGTTGCCAGATCTAGTACTAAAGCATAATATCAAGCTATGGCTCTCACTACATTTGAGCTTATGTGGATGAAGCATCTTCTCCAAGAATTGCATTTCTATGAAATTGGAGTCATGAAACTAATGTTTGATAATCAAATAGTTATGCACATCACCTCCAATCTAGTCTTTCACAAGAGGACTAAACATATTAAGATTGATTGTCATTTTTTTTGCGAAAAGATTGTGTCTAAAGAAATTATTACTCCTTTTGTCTAGTCTGATGAGCAATTTGTAGATATTTTCACCAAGTCTTTTCGTGGTTCGAGGATAGCTTACATATGTAGCAAGCTTGATGCATACAATCTTTATGCACCAGCTTGAGGGGGAGTGTAGAGATATAGTTTGTTATGATCAATTTATCTTTACTAAGATAGGATAAGGTTGTTTTCCATGTTTATCTTTATTTAGTTTTATCTTTATCTAGAGTAAATTAGGATCCTATAAATATGCACCTTGTTCACATTGATTTCTTAAGCAATAATAATCATCGTATATTCAGATTCAACACTATAGAAACATTAATCTTCTAACTTGTTGAAAGACCATTAAAGCTAGTTAGCAAAAAAAAATGGTCCAATAATCTATAACACTCGTATTAATCAAAATGCCTGAAAAATATAACAGATAAGCTGATTGTGAAGCAAGAACCAAAGCATGAAATTTAAACATGATGAGGACAGACCAAAAATCAACACCAGTTTTTGGTATTATAATAATGATGATGAAGATAAAAATAACTGACAAAAAACATTGCTGAAAATATCTCAAGAAACAAAGAATTGGGTTCTAGTGTACCTTCGCAATCACTTGAGTCATCCACGGTGCCAGCACACCACAACACAGATCAATAAGTACACATGCAGCCCTAGCCTATTCAAAAGTTAAGTTCAAATCAGCTGCTGACCCAGAAGAGAATAAATTATTTTATGTAGAACCTGAAATTTAGCCAAGTTGGTGTGCCAACATTTATAATTTTTTGATTTACGAAGGATGTGTAACTACTTTCATCCATTTTATAATTTCACTAGCAAAATTTACTACAGAATTCATAGCAGAAAATTGTTAAAGCTCACAACTACATGAATAAAACCTCAAATTTCTCATTCACAAAACTGAAGCAATTATTTCTTCTTGCCCTTGATTTAAGTTATTGGGATTCAACCGCTGAGCTAGGAACACATTATCTACCTTAACGCCAGACTACCAATAATAAGATAAGAACTCAACTTATTTTTTCCATTGCTTGGAGAACCAATGGCTTCACCATTTTCCTTATCATCTTAATTATTTTTACTTTTATCAATCGAAACTTAATCAAACTTATAATAAACTACTTTCACATCCAAATATCAATATAGTTCACAAATCAAGCAGAAGACTACAAATTATACAAAAAGATTCTAAATAAAAATTAAGAAATAATTGGTTGACTAACATGAGATGGCGAGTATGAAGACAGATAACCAGCACAAGCCTGAACAAGCGAGCGATATGTTGCTGATGTTGCAGTAGCAACAACCTGCACATATACACGTAATCAAGAGAACAAAGTTTAAGATGCCACAAAGAATACAAAAAATACATTTAGCCTGTTGGGTCTATAAAAGCCTTTGAAATATAACCTGAGATAAGGCCTGTTGTACAATAGGTTGCTTCCACTGAGAAAAAGTGTCATCAACAGCATCATAAGAATTGCTCACCCATGGGCGTAGAGCTACAAAAATTCCAGCAAAGCAAAAGCACAACATTGAATAAAGCAGTTTATAAAAGCAATTGTAATTAACTATGACAAACTTATTAATCAAGAAAACTGAAGATAATGTGTCCCAACTATAAATTAAATTTCTTCTTAAATAATATTTTAATTAAAAAATTATAGGAACAAGATCAAGTTCTCTTGTAAGCAATGTAATATATCAATCAATAAAATAATAACATGAGTCGAACAGATCAGCACATTTCCATACTTCAATTTTCACAAAGCTTTATTTAGAAATATCATAAATCCCTAACATCCCCAAATGTGATTTTTGATGTTAAAATGTAAGACAACTGGATGCTTATGTCCCCAAACAACTGATTTAGGAAAGTAAATTTTCATCTTTGCTAAAACCTAAATTAATGAAGGAGAATAATCTCTCACTTTCTTAAATGATATCTTTGATACCAAAATGTGAAACAACAGAAATTGAGGTTGCCACACCATTGAATAACAAAACTGGCAATATATTGTTTAGAAGCAATATATTAGAACAATAAGAGAACCTACAAAACAGAAAGTAAAAATAAAGCAATGCAGAAAAAGAGAAATCGTCAATGGAACAAAGCTACCCCATTCATCTGCAAGCTGCATATCTGTTAGGAAACCTCCTTAGAAAAATCAGCACCACCTCCTCACTCAATCATTTTGCCATGCCGGAAGTTGTAGAATACAAGCAGAACAGAGATTGATGAGTGAGGAAGCCGGAAGATGTTGCAGAAATTCAAAACAGAAGCAAGATGCAGGTGCAGGTGCTCTACAGCAAAAAAACAAGAAACATGAAATTGGACGCCTTCTCTGAAAAGCACCCGCTCTGCTCACTATTCACCGCAAAATGCACAACATGACTGGCCTTGGAAGAGTGGCAAGGAACCGTTCCAATCCACTCCACCATAATCGCAGCACTATTGTGTGTGATTGATAACAAAGGATCAGATCAGACAAGGACCAATGAAATCTTTAACAACAGCTGAAGATTGACACAGTTGGAAGTTAATGTAGTTGGAGATTTGACAAAGCCAGAGATTGACACAAATGGAAGTTCATGCAGCTGGAGATATTGGAGAGACTGTGGACATGGTATGACTAGAATAAATTGGGGCCAGTGTGTCTCGGAGAGCTGCAGGGCCAGATTTCATTCATTGGAAAATACATGAAGCCAGACACCTTTCTCCCTCTTAATGTTATGAAAGTAAAATGAAGCCAAAAAAGGAGCCAAACAGCCATGGGACATGACAGGCAGAAAAGCAACAGCACTGAGTAAGTACTGCTTTACAATTTCCAACTAATCCAATAATTCATGGAATGTAACAGGTGTAACAGGACATTCATTTGCATAGATTAACAAAGGAAAATAAATACATAAAATACTTAAATATACATATGAAAAACAAGAAAAGGCATTTGTCTCATTTTAACATTTTGTTTTTTATATTTATATTGGTATATCTTTGCCAATAATCTAAACAAATCAGTGATACATCACACCTCATGACGTTGCTGCTAATTATTTGACAAAATTTGAGGTGAGGGGCATAATTTTAACAATTGAGAAACAAAGACTAAATGCAAGAAATTAGAACTAGGGGAACCAAAATCATGCATAGGCTAAAATATAAGGACAAAGAGTACAATTAAGCCAAAGTAGCATTTGCATCTCTCAAATAGGTAAAATAGGTCACCACTAGATTTCCATTTCAAAATTTTCAGTATTTCAGAATGATGCCAGAATGACTTTATTATGATGTGATTTTGTTACTAAACGCAAGCACAACTAATTAGTAAAACTTAACCTGGCAGCAGAGCTTGAACAAGTGGCAGTGCAACCCAAAAGTCTGAAGATCTTTCTGCCAACTTGCTGCAAAGAACAGGCTGTAAATTGCAGCATGTTAAACAATGTACACAAAATACTTGCAAATTTTGACAATATAATTTGCACCAAGGAATTATATATCATTTAATTGAAAGGAACCTGTGAAGCACAAGAATAAAGAACGTGTAAGATCCCTTCTTCCACCGCTGCCATATCTAATATGTTAAGATAGCTGCAATCCCACTGCTCATCTGGTATCCGGAACTCCTCACCCAAGAGGTTTGAATAATCAACTAAAGTGAAAGGACTAGACAGTTCCAAATTTGATTTATCTTCCGTAAGAGATGTTACTTCATCTCGAGGGTTTGACACATCTTGCTCAGTATCAGGATTTATGAGCTTCTGCATAATTCTAGATGCCTGAAATAAAGGTAAATATATACCCAAAAAACCCATAAGCAACAATTGATTGAGCACAGAAACAAGAAAAAGATGCATATTTCCCTTTATGGTCAAAAGTAAAATAGAAATTATCTGAACTAGATTATTGATCCATGCAATGCATGTTTGTTTATTTACTTCTTAAATTTTATTTTATTAATTTAATATTATTCTAATCATGTATTTTCTAATAATATTAATTGTTTAAAGTTTATTAATTATGATAATAATCAGAATGATATTCATATTATTATGTATTAAAAAAACTGAATATTATAGTTTATTAAAAAAGACTAAACTGTTTTAGTTTCTTACACATTTACCTAACGTCAATTTTATTATTATGTGAAGATTGCAATATATCAAATAAACATTAAAAATTAAGAAAAAAAATTAATTCGAAGACTTGTTTAATATCTTAAAAATAATTAATATATTAAATTAATCTCAAGTGAATCTTTGGATGAACCAATTCATAATTTAGACTTCAAGTACTAAATTAGTTTAAGTTATAAATTATTTTATAATATACTTTTTATGTCATTTATAAAAAATGAGACATCAAGATAAAATATTAAAGGATTATATATTGTTAGTATTCTTCCGATTTTTATTGTTGTAGCAGTACAATGTTAAAATATTTTGAGGATTAAAAACTAAGTATAATGTAACAATAGAAATTGAAACAAAAAAAAAAGGCAGTGAAGTTTTGCAGTATATTTTAATAAATTTTTATAATTTAATTTAAAAATTAAATTATTTATTCAGTCTGTTAAATATTTATACCACATCAATATTCTAAAAATTGAAGGTATAAAATTTCTTTAAAAAAATGTTTATTGAAGTAATTTAGAGACTTATTTAACATTATTTTTATATTATGATAACAAGATAATTACAAAATTAATAAAAAAAAATATTTAATGCATAAACAACTAATAGGAGAGAGATATACCATTCTACAAACAGAGCCCAGATCAGAATCTTTATATGCCTTTCTCAAAAGCACAAAAATTGCATCTGGCCTAAAAACTATGGCACGGTATGCAGATAAAATTAAAGGTGATGCACTTCGTGATCTCCTTGGCTGCATGAAAAAAGAAAAATGTTGTAGACAGAAGGGTTATACACGTGGAATGACCATCACTTAATAACAAATACAGGCAGGGTAAGTAATGTAAAGCAAGTAGAAGAAACCAAGAATATGAATGGGTGGGATTTTAGAATTTAAAATAACTGAAAATAAAAAATAAAAATTGTCTGTCCAGTATCAACTGATAAAACATCACCAATAACAATACCTTTTCCTTCCCCAAGTATACTGTAAGGAATCACTTAACGTCATACTTAACAAGATTAAGCGAGAGAAAATTAACCTTAATTGGATGATTCTGAATATGTAAGCACTGATGCACCAGAAAGCTGGTGTTATAGTGCTGACAATTAATTTTCAGATTCCAGTTTCAGATATAAATAGACAGGGCATTATGAAGGCATTTCTGAACTTTTGAAGACCCAAAAAGAAATGAATTCAAGGGTTAATTAGGGCTATGAAGGAGACCTCCCAATTCTCATCAATCCATGGAGTTTTTCTCTTCATCCCCCATTTTTGTTTTAATTACTATCAATCTCTCTTAGGGGAGTGTTGAATCTTGCTCTGATTTGATTTGTACTTGGATCTGAATTTGACACTTTCCTATTCTTCGACACTATTAAAATTATTCCTCTAATGAGGGATTAATCCTATATTTAATGCTTCCTATGAATTAACTAGTCATAGATTGATCTCTCGATTGTTCTTTCAAGTGCAAAATTAGGGTTCAATGAGCTATTGCATTAAATTACCTTGATTATTATAGATTTGGGGATGCATTGTATTAGTCAAGTTGTTGTTAAGCAATGTCATAGATTGATTTTCCTTTTTCTTTCAATAGGTCATTGTGGAAGAACGTATGTAAAGAATTTTGATGATGCCAAAGAAATTATAGAAAACAAGAGGTCAAGTTAAAGCAAGGTGATCAAGAAACAAAAATCTCAAAGTATTTTAGATAAGTCTTGTCAACCTAGCTTTATATGTAAAAAGAAATTTTTAGAAATATTGCATAAGATTCTTGGCCATTTAAAATAAAGAATTTCAAGAAAACCCAAATATAATCTTTTATATTAATAAGGTTTTGAAAATAAAGGTTTTCTATATTTTAAGTTTTAATAAGGTAATTATTGTTTTTAGCAGTCTGGTAATCGATTACCAGTACATGTAATCGATCGTGCTCTGGTAATCGATTACCCATTCCATGTAATCGATTACCAGAAGATAAAAATTTCGAAATTTGAATTTAAATTTTACAACGTTTCAAACAACTTGAAATTAAACTGTTGTAATCGATTACCAAATCTTGTAATCGATTACCAGAGCCTATTTTCTGAAAAATTTTAGAAAGTCACAACTCTTCATGAAAAGTCATGACCTATGAAACAATCATCTATAAATACCAATAATTTTTCAGAAAAAGGTTACGAACTCAATTGTGAAAAATTATCTTTACAATCACTTGGCCAAAATCATTTGCAAATATTATCTAAAGAGTTCTACTAGATCAACAAGTGTAAAATCCACTCTTCAAAGAGAGTTGTTCTACTTCATTCATCTCATCTATTGATTTGTAAAGGAGAAAGTGTTGTTCTCCTTGGTGGTCTGTGATTCTCAACACGAGGAAAGGGAATTCCTAGGTGTTGGAGAATTTGAGTCTTGTAAAGGTTACAAGCATAGTGAAAAATCTCAAGTGGGAGACTTGAGGACTGGATGTAGGCAAGGTTGGCCGAACCAGTATAAAATCAAGTTTGCAATTCTCT